TAATATAGGGCACAGAAATTCACCAAGTTTTCAAATTTGATCTCTATTTTACTTCTGGCTGAAAAGTAGAACCAGCTTCTGATGAAGACTCATCAAGCTCAATCCACTGGCTCTAATGCTGCGCCTGAAGCGCATGCGACCTATTCTAGCAACCATCAACGACGAAAGAATAGTCGTGGCCGTGGTAATGGGCGACAAGTCCAACCATAGGCCCAAGGTCAACAGAGTACTGCACCTAAGGGAAAAAATGTGACCCAGCAACGTCCACCACTCGCCCCTAAGGCCCCAAACTTTAAGAACAAGGGCAAAGCTTCGATTTAGCTCGCTTCTACTAAACTGGACATATGCTATCACTGTGGATCAAGGGATCATTGGTCACGCGTATGCCGAGCTTCCCCTGAGCTATTGCCACGTATCATTCCGTCATGAGTCTAACTTTGCACATATGGATCATCCGAAAGATGCAATCAATGGAGATATCGGATTTTCAGGAGGCGTTAGCACCTATGGATGAATAAATTAGACACGTTTTTAGGGTGTTTACCCCCCCACTAGGAATGGCTGGCCATACCCCCCCTATTTTGCTAGGTTTATGGTTTAATTTTGAACAATTTTCCTAAGCATTTGGAATAATTTGTTTGGTTTTGGTTTGTTTTGAATTATGGATTGTTATTTGAATGGATATTATTCTCTCGAATTGCTTAATTGAATGAATGGACTTATATCTATGCATGTGACCAGTTTAATCAATTTATTTCTAGGTATGTCTAGTAGGGAAGTTAGTTGTCTGGCAGATAGTGTAACCACGCACACCATATTGCGTGAAAAACACTATTTTACTAACTTCATACCCAAGAAAGCTCCTTTGACAACTTTCTCAGGCTCATCCAACTTGAATGAAGGATACGGAAAGGCACATATCATGTTTTCCAATGGTACAATTCTGACCATTAAGGAGGCACTCTATTCTCCACGTTTCGGAAGAATGTTACTCAGTTTTAGAGATATTCGAGATAATCAATATCATCTTGAAACCACTGAAGATCATGGTTCTGAATTTCTTTGTATCACTTCATATGAATATGGCCAAAAGCATATTCACGAGAAGTTGGAACACTTGCCAAGTGGGTTATACATCACAACCATTCGCGGTATAGAAGCCCACAGTGTGGCCGGCCCTATGCCTGAGTTCCAAGACACTTTGTTGCTTTGTCATGACCGTTTGGGACATCCTAGACGTGACATGATGCGTTGTATCCTTAAATCCTCATACAGGCATAAGCTACATCCCTATGTTGGACTCCTGCCATGCAAAGCGTGTTCTTTAGGGAAGTTAAATACTCAACCCTCATATACAAAGATTATTCACGAGCCCCCTAAATTTCTTCAGAGGATTCAAGGGGACATTTGTGGACCTATCCAACCAACCTGCAAACCATTTCGATACTTTATGGTGTTGGTTGATGCATCGACACGATGGTCACATGTTTGCTTGTTGTCCACACGTAACACTGCGTTTGCTAAACTTCTAGCTCAAATTATTAAGCTAAGGGCTCACCACCCTGATTATCTAATCAAGTCGATTCGACTGGATAATGCTAGAGAGTTTACGTCACAGACTTTTGACGATTATTTCATGTCAATAGGGATTGATGTGGAACATCTTGTGCCCCATGTTCACACCCAAAATAGCCTGGCAGAAGCTTTCATAAAGCGCCTTCAATTGATAGCTCGGACTTTAGTTATGAGAACCAAACTGTCGGTATCTGCCTGGGGCTATGCAATATTGCACGCAACTATGTTGGTCCGCCTGAAGCCCACCGCTACCCAACCATATTCACCGTTACAGTTGGTCACTGGATACGAGCCTGACGTCTCGCATTTACAGGTGTTTGGGTGTGCCATTTATGTGCCAATAACGCCGTCGCTACGTACCAAAATGGGAATTTATGTCGGTTATGATTCGCCATCAATTGTTTGATACTTAGAACCCTTGACAGGAGATCTCTTTACCGCACGTTTTGCATATTGTCACTTTGATGAGATAGTCTTCCCGTCGTTAGGGGGAGAAAAGCATGCTAATGTTCCCATAGAATGTCGCGAACTGTCGTGGTATGCTCCCACTATGTCTCATTTAGATCCCCGCACTGCCCAGTCTGAAACTGAGGTGCGATGAATTATAGATCTTCAGATCATTGCTCAAAGCATGTCGGATGGTTTTAATGATCTAGCAAAAGTGACAAGATCACATATACCCACTGCAAACACACCTACAAGGATAGATGTACCCCGTGTACGTCAATAACCTGCCTGGGAAGGCCGGACTGTCCCCGAAGGTGGGGAGGCCACACCTTCCATGCGGCAAAGTACATTGGCAACTAGCCAATCACTTGCTTTGACCCTAAAGCATGGCAGATCCCTTGGTTCAAAGGATTCACAACCCCGAAATAGGAAAATGACACCAACTAGTAACCCTAGTTTGAATCCGACCATTGCTTACTCATCCATTCCAACGCATGAAGTTATTCTAGATTACGGTGATGCTTTAGATGAAACATGCCAGCCTCCCGAGAATCGTGAGATTTCGGTCCACTACACAGTATTGGATGAGGTTTGGAATAGGAATGAGATGATTGTCGACGATGCATTCTCATACTCAGTAGCTACTGACATCATGCTTAGGGATGACATTGAACCACATTCCGTCGATGAATGCCGACGTAGAACCGATTGGTCAAATTGGAAACAAGCAATCCATGTCAAACTTGATTCGCTTGCGAAACGTAAGGTATTTGGACCTATCGTTCCTATACCACCACGCGTGAAGCCTATTGGCTACAAATGGGTTTTTATGAGGAAGCGAAATGAGAAGAATGAAATAGTGTGATATAAAGCACGCCTTGTAGCGCAAGGCTTCTCTCAGTGCCCTGGGATTGATTACGAGAAGACGTATTCCCCCATAATGGACGTTATAACGTTTCGCTACCTAATCGGTTTGGTAATTTTCGAAAAACTGAATACGCAGCTTATGGACGTGGTAACCACATATCTCTATGGGGATTTAGATACAGAAATATACATGAAAGTTCCAAAAAGACTTCCATTGATTGGCTCATATAGTTCTAGACCACGAAACACTCTCTCAATTAGGTTGAGGAGCTTACTCTACGGATTGAAACAATCCGAGCTGATGTGGTATAACCGTCTGAGTGAATATTTGACAAGTCAGGGTTATGTGAACAAAGAACTATGCCCATGCGTGTTCATAAAGAAGTTACATTCCAGATTTGCAATCGTTGCAGTTTATGTCGATGACATAAATCTCATTAGGACTCTTGCAGAACTTGAGGAAATTGCTGCACACTTGAAATCAAAATTTGAGATGAAGGATCTTGGGAAAACTCGATATTGCCTCGGCCTAGAGATCGAGCATTGTTCAAATGGAATCCTAGTACATCAATCGAACTACACCCAAAATGTGTTGCGTTGTTTTAATGAGGATAAAGCGAAGCATTCGAGTACACCCATAATCGTTCGAACTCTAGATGCTCAACGAGATCCTTTCCGTCCAAAGGAGGATGAGGAAGAGATTTTAGAACCCGAATTTCCTTACTTAAGTGCAATTGAAACTTTATTGTACTTCGCTCAATGCACTAGACCTGACATCTCCTTCGCTGTGAATCTATTAGCAAGATACAACAATGCACACACACGCATGCACTGGAATGATGTTAAAGACATTTTCCGCTACCTCAAAGGTACAATGGATTTGGGCTTGTTCTATACCCGCGAATCTCCAAATGTTGCCACCCTTTATGGTACTCAGATTGATTCTCGCCTTATTGGTTACATAGATGCTGGATATCTGTCTGACCCACATAGAGCACGTTCTCAAACGGGTTATGTCTTTATTGTTAAAGACACCACTATATCTTGGAGGTCTACCAAGCAAACGCTAGTTGCAACTTCATCTAACCATGTTGAGATTCTCGCCCTACATGAAGCATCGCGTGAGTGTTTTTGGCTGAGAGAAGTTATGGGACACATTTGAAGCACTAGTGGTCTTACATCAGTTGTTGACTTTCCTACGACAATCTTTAAAGACAATGCAGCATGTATCGAGCAGTTGAAGAAGGGATACATCAAAGGAGACAACACCAAGCACATAGCGCCGAAGTTCGTTTACTCACACCAGCAACAACAGCATCAGAACATTGAAGTCAAGCAAATCCGTTCCGAGGACAACCTGGCCGATCTCTTCACCAAGTTGTTGCCCAAGTCTACTTTTCAGAAGCTTGTCCAAGGAATCGGTATGCGTAAATTATCTGAGTTAAATCGCTTGTACTTCTCTTATTTAGAAGTTTTGTCTAACTCAGGGGGAGTATCTATAAGCATACTCACATGATCTTAATGTACTTTTTTTCCAACGATTAGGAGCATTTTTCCCACTGGGTTTTTGCTACCTAATAAGGTTTTAATAGGGCACCCATCTTGGGATGATCATACTCCGTTGAGTTCTCTACCTTCGTTCAGTTTGACGTTTGTTTAAAGACATTATGCATACATCTCATTTTTCTCCTTAGTCTATGGGTTTTCCCCATGCCTTGGGTTTTACCATAGCGAAGTTTTGTGAGTTTTACTACAAATGCATACTTCACTTAAATTTGAGACTCGAGATCACCCGTTATGCCGATGACTTCATCAACTATTCTACCTTATTTGCTGAAGATCTGATGCGATGGTTTGTTGAGTATTTACACACTCAAGGGGGAGTGTTGCAGTCATATTTAGAATATGAATGTGGTTGTGTAAATTCTAGGAGATGTGGCAAAGTATCTTATATTCCTATTAGGACTAGATTACCTATTAAATATTGTAATCCTAAAGGGAAAAATTTTCACATTCCTACTACTATAAATGAAGGCACAATGATTTGAATCAAACATGCCTCACAATTAAATCAATCTCTCTTCTCTCTTATTGTGGCCGGCTCCTCTCTCTCTCTCTCTAAACTCTAGATCGTTCAATCAAATAGGTCTACAACAGCTACAACTATTTTCAAAAACTACTTTAATTAATTTTTAATTTCAGAACTATTGTGAGTTATTTTCAGGAACTATTTCTTATAAAAACCCAAGGTTTTTTTAATAGATTTGGAGGATTTTATCAGTACATGATACAGTTAACCGCCATTAACGTGGTAGATGAAGGAAAGGAAACTCGATTCAGGTTGAGGCAGGGGTTTCAGTTGAGGGAAAAACAGTATGTGGAGGACGACGAGAATGAAATTGGGGGGTACAGGCGGCGGAAGAAGATGGTTGAGCAGTCGGAGTGATTGGGGGAAGGGGAAGAGGATCGCGGCGGTGTGGGGGAACGGGGACTACGGGAGGCTTGGGCTCGGTAGCCTGGACTCTCAGTGGAAGCCTGCCCCTTTGCGTTCGTCTGCCTTTGGCGACCAATCCCCTGAAGCCATAGCTTGCGGCGGCGCTCACACTCTCTTCTTAACGGGCAGTGGCCGCCTTTACGCCACCGGTCTCAATGATTTTGGACAGCTTGGAGTTGGGGATTCTCATGATTTAACTTACACTTGTGTATGTATTCATATTTTGTGTTTTCATTGCAAGCTTTTTGTGTATGAGGTGCCATATTTGATATTGTTTGTTTGTTCCATTGCAGAAGCCCTTAGAGGTAACTGGAATTGGCAAGGAAATTGTTCGAATTTCGGCCGGTTACTATCACTCTTGTGCTATTACAGGTAAATTAGTACCATTCAAAACCAACCAACCCAACTGTATGTCTATTTAAAGCACAATAGCAAGACAATGGGTTATTTTATTTATTTATTATATGATTTCTCTTGCTATGAGATGTTCTATCCCAAATTCCCAATGTTTAAATGTTAATTTCATCGACTACATTTACGACTTATCTTGCAGAAGATGGAGAATTGTACATGTGGGGGAAGAACTCAAATGGGCAGCTTGGTCTTGGAAAAAGTAAAGAACTCTACTTTCTTTTCATTCTGTTACAGATTTTCTTAGTTGCCACATGCTATACTTTTAGGGGTAGTCAAATTAGGATTCTAAAGGATTTTGAAAGACTTTTTAAGTGGTTGATTTGATAGGATTTGTGAAATCCAAATGGATTTTTGAGGATTGTGATAGATTTCTTTGTGGATTTTGATGGATTTTCTTGTCCTTTATTCTAATAAATTTCGTAAACAGGACTAACAGAACATGCAGCAAGAGAACAACCCACACCAATCCCCAACGCCGTAAAAGATCATAAATTTAAAAAAACTCATACCCTTACAAAATGAATCAATCCAATGTACCTAGATGTCTATATGACCCAATAAGAATGGTAATTTTTTTCTACAAAAATGGGTGAGCAGTGAAGTTGCAGACACATATCCCCAGTGCAGTAAAACATTATAAAACCAATTACGAACTCAAAGTTATGAAGGGAGCCCGGAGAGAGGAGGTGGTAGTGGTGCTGGGAGGATGGGTGAGCCGTGGGTGCGGGTGTGGGTTAGGTAACGCTGGCGTGGACAGACGCAGGTAAGGTTGGTTGGCTGAGAGGAGAGAATCCAATGACAATCTTTGGGTGAACGGTGGGATTGTTCATAGTCTTTGACATGTATAGTTTTTATCCTAGAATCCACTAAAATCCACCAGAATCCACAATTTAATGAAATCCCACCAAATCTACAACTTTCTGACTACAGATAGATTTGTATACTCTTGCTTAAACTCCATTAAAATCCTATTTAACTACACATGGATTTACATTGATTTTAAAAATGTCTTTTAAAATCCTGATTGACTACCCCAGAATTTTAAAGTCTTTTGAAATCCATCAGAATCCTAATTTGATTTAGCACTTCGTCAACTTTCTCTTCGTATGCAGGGGCTGCAGGGCTAGTTTCTGTACCAACCAAAGTTGAATGCTTGGCTGGAATCACCATTAAGACAACAGCTTTGGGATCAGAGCACTCAGTAGCTGTTACTGGTATAACATTTTAAGTTTGGTAAACTTCTCTAGTTTTACAATCATAAGATTCTTTTTTAATTATTAAACTCTTTAATTGTTTAATGTTTTGTACATCCTTCACCAGATGGAGGTGAGTCCTTAAGTTGGGGAGGAGGGTCTGGGAGACTTGGTCATGGCCACGAATCAGGAATTTTAGGAATTCTCAGAAGTACCAGGTGGTATTTGATTTCTTTTATTACACGATTAAATAGAAAACTTTTTTCCCTTTGCTATGTTTCAACTGTGAAGTTCCCACTGCCTACAATCTGACACAGAATGATGCCATCAAGGAAGATTTACTTTTGTATAAATTCACTTGAGAGAACTTGGAGAACTTAATTACTCACAAAGCCTCCTTATTCCATTCTAAAGTAGTTGCTTCACTGCTCATAAAATTTCCCTAAGAACCTAAATTTCACAACTAGCTGTAACTCCTTTCTTTTTATGCTATATTTACCATACTAATTCAAGGGCAATTTACTTTAGGACCAACCTGGATTATGGAAAAAAAAAAAAGAAAACCTTTGATAATAAAGTCAACATTAAGATTGTGCAAAGTCATTATAGTTAGCTTAATATACAGTGTTGGTACATTCCCTAATGACGTAAGCCTTTGGGGTCTTGTCTAACATGGTATTTGAGCTTCAGTTGCAATTACTCATGGGTTTGAAACCTTCAATCCTTAAACCCCATTTCTTTGCTGGTTTGAAAGTGTAAGTTGTCTCTCTGTTTACCTCTCCACTTGTAGGTGTAGCCATGTGAGATAGAAATGCACGAGAGAGAGGGGGTGTTAGTTGATGTAGATTGTTGGTGTACAATTTCTTTTACCTTTGAAGCAACATGGAAGCTTATTTTTGTTTGTGGCGATGTATGCAAGCTACAAAAGACCCAAAGTAATACTGATGGATAAACTTCAGTTGATACAGAGCTGACTTAGTCTTGCATCACCGTAATTACTCAAGTATAACCTTGACACTTGGTCCTACATACATTGAATCAAACCACATTGCATGGCCAGAGTTGCAACACAAACAACATGGACAGTTCATGTGGCAATAATGCAGGCTTGCACAAATAGAAATGTGAAGGCTAATTGTCTATATGATGGATATATTTAGTTCATCTGATTTAAGTTTATCGAGATTTCCTTTACTGGCACTGTGAACCTCACATTACACAATATAAAATTCTAAATAATATATCTATGCTCTCATATTTCAGTTATACCCCATTTTGGGCTGTTCAAGAATGAATAATTCGATCTTGGAATACAACATATGTTTGTAGTTTGCTTAAATTTACTGTCATAGACAATGGACACACAAAGAGTGTTGGATATATGCTTAAGCGATAACGTAGGATCCCGCATGGGAACAGCTCCTTTACCATAAGTGTCTCCTATCTAGCAATAATTTTGGGTGTCCATCGTCTCTGTGATACCAATAAATATCTTTTGCAGCGAATATACACCACGACTTATCAAGAAACTTGAGGGGATCAAGGTATAATCACTTACTGAACTGTCAAGTTTTGATTCATATTATCATACCTGAATGTACTTGTTAGTATTTGATTAATGTTTTTGTCTTACAGCTTCAATTTTATAAATGTATAGGTTAAAGAGGTTGCTGCTGGATTGCTGCAATCAGCATGCATTGATGGTACCTTTTGGCTTTTTGGGTGATCCTAGTTTGTGGTATGGCATCAATTTCTGAATTTGAAAAAAAAAATATTTATATCATTTTGCTTTTCCATTTTTTCAGACAATGGGTCCGTATTCATGTTTGGTGAAAGAACAGTAGATAAATTGGTAAGTCAAGGATAGTTCTTTGAAATGAGGTTGAAAATCATACAGTGGGCGCAGAGCCAGGATCGTCTTTTAGTGGTGCACTGCAAGTAATATATTATGATGATTTTGTAATTTTGCTAAGATGAATGTCTCTAGTTAGTGTTAACTATATTAGAAAACCACAATTAATACTTTTGGTGAAATAAATTGTTCGCTTGAGAAATTAGTGTATACAAACAAAATTCTAGTAAGTCCTAGAAAAAAGTAACTTTATATTCTTCAAGAAAAAGAACAGTGATTATAATCAAACCATGAAATAATGTTAAAAATAATTCAAAATTTTTAAATTCTGGTCATGCATATCGTCGGAAATCAAGTGTTTGTTAGGTAATATAATTTTTTACTTAATCAATGTAATAACTGAATGAAATAAATTTAATTTTAAATATACGGACTTGAGTCCACTCTTGTCAAGGAAGTCAAACTTTTCTCTAAAGCATTTTCTTCTTCCTTGTTTCTCTGTTCTGTCAGCATAAAAGTAAAAGAAAAAAAAGACAAAAAAAGCATAGGGTCCTTGTTTTTTAGCATATGACAAGTATTTGACGACCTATGTGCCACCTGCCCAACAAGAATCTGTTCTTTTGGTTCATCAATCATCCAAATTATCTTGCCTGAACTCAAGACAAGAATCTCAGGATTTATCAACACAGATACAGAGGATTTACAAATGACATTTGCTAGCTGGACTTAATCCAACGAGCTATTTGGATACATACAGTAAAGCTGAAAATTCTCTGAAACCCTAAATCAAAATATATGGTTGAAGAAAAGGGAAACATTGATGCCAAATACCTTTTCTCCCAGCTCTGTCGTTGATTCTCCCTCTTCACTTCTAGTGACAGATATTAGCTAAAAATCTAATATTTAGACACACTTTTTAAACTCTTAGATTAATCCAATTTTAGTGATCTTGACCAATTCTAAATGTGTGTGTGGAGACTGTCTTTTGAAATTTTCGCGGGCATACTTTTGGACACTTAGTGGGTTTACCTCTGATCATAGATCTTGGCAGGGACCTCGTTAAACAATTCCTTACTATTTATGTCATAATTTTTTTTTATTATTATTCTTTTTTATGGAATAATAGTGGTCTGGAAAGGGGAACAATGCAACAACACCATCCATGATCAGCAAACTGCCATGCTCCGAAGAAGTTGCTTGTGGTGGCTATCACACTTGTGTCTTAACAAGTAATTAATTATCTTATCATCTTTCTCAATGAAGTTGATCATCGTTATATTCATTCACATATCACATTGTCATCATCAACATATGTTCATACCATTCCCAACTGAGTTGAGAACATCATGAGGTTGATTAGGGTGATCCATTAAGGATGATTCTTAACACATCGTATGTGACATTGCCACACGATTCACAACAACATATAACGAATTCAGTTCCTCTCCTAATGAAAGACATTTGTATCTGCAATTTGTGTGTGGCAATTTGCTCTTTTACATCTTATTGTTTCTTATTTATTTGTAATTTTTTTAGTTTGAATTTTTTCTTTTTAAATTAAATTGTTTTATTTTACAATCCTAATTAGTGAGGGGTATTTTTGGGATATTAAAAGCTTCACCATTTTGGTGTGCTCCCTTTATATATATAGATTACCTAGAAACAGTCCTTATGTTGAGTTGCCTTTTATAGCATTTACAATGGCTAAGAAGAAACACAGTTTTAGCAGATTCGTTCTTCAGAATTAATGATGCTTATGATATGGAAGTGTGTTCATATTCTATTGGTCTTCTCAAACTTTTTTTTTTTTATATATTTATAATGCAAGATATCGGAGTTACTTTTATACAATAAGAGGTAATTGATTATAGGAATACTAAGTCTGTCATTAATGTATTCACTCCAATCATTGTGCTTTAAGTGTAAGTGTTTTATCCTAATTATCTATTTTTCTTTTCACATAGGTGGTGGAGAACTGTACAGTTGGGGATCAAATGAAAATGGGTGCCTTGGCATTGGGTATATATTCCACTACCTTTTTTTATTGAAGTTTTGCTTGAAAATTTTGTTTTAGTTTGCGAATAGTTACAGTTCCAGTACGCAAAATATTGATATTCATTGTTGGTTCATTGATTGGTTTATTCATGTATTTGATGTCCAGTACGACAGATGTTTTTCACCACCCAGAAAGAGTTCAGGGACCTTTTTTAAAATCCCCGATTGTCAAGGTTTACACTTCACTTTTTCAGACTAATTCCCTTTGGGTTTCCTGAATAACATTTTTTTCTTTCACATGGTAACAACATAGCATGCTTTATTTCCTGATGCTTTAACAAATGTGCATATATAGGTATCGTGCGGTTGGAAGCATACAGCAGCAATTTCTGGTAAGAACTATTTTTATAGTTAAAACCATATTGCACCAGTATTTGTGAAAGAAACGTAAATTTTACGAGATCATTCATTTGTGTGCTTCTGGTCACTTCCTCCGTTTCTGCTCATAGGTTTTTCACAAGAAAATTATTTTGTGTTTGGTAACAGAAGGCAATATTTATACATGGGGTTGGGGAGGTTCCCTTGGAACATTTTCCGAAGATGGACATTCTTCTGGAGGACAACTGGTTTGCTTCCCTCTCCCGTGTGTTATTACTTTTTGTTAGCATTTGGTTTTAATACTTTGCTTCTGTGAATGAAACTGTCATTGGATTTCCTTTTATTGATAGGGTCATGGAACTGATGTTGACTACATAAAACCTACAATGGTTAAGTTTGGGCAGAATGTGAAAGCTCTACAAATATCATGTGGATTCAATCACACTGGTGCCATAGTTGAGTACACATAAGCTTCGGCACCTGCAGTCTCAGCTTCAAGAAATGTAGCAACTTCTGGGTTCTGAGAAGTGATTTAGACATATGTCTCTTTGGCGTGCTCTCTTCATTCGTTCATTCAGTGTACCTTTGATTTGCATCGGTCACTAGAGCAGCAACTACACAGTTATACAATACAAGACTACCAATATCAGCCTACAAATTTCCAATTGTAATTTCAAAGTATAAATTTATAGTTATGTATATGTAATAAAAGGTTCAATTGGTATAACGTTGCGATTCTATTTGTTCAAGTGATTGTAAATTTGTAAGATAATATACAAATTTTTAGACTTCACTGCAAAATTGTATTTCACTAGAATAATATTTGTGATGTATATATTTACGTACTTTTCTGAAGGCTCCCATTTGTACTTCTACAAAATGTATAGCGTTCATTTTTACGACTCAAAGCTTCTCTCAGGTTGTGATTTTTATTTTCTTGGCTGCGACGATTTTCCTCTAAGATGTACGGTTCTGTAGTTTGTATGTCAAGGGTTTTCTTTTTGAACCATCTGTATTCTGTAGTGCTGGTTTTTGTGGAAACGGGTTGGTTGTAATATCTTACATGACCTATTAACATGATATGAAAGTCAAACTTTGGATTTCCTTCGGGATAGTTGGAGATTTCATCTTTAGGATTGCTCATATATGCTGGGTCACAAGGTACCCTAAGAATCTGTTGAAGATACCCCAAATGGGCATTTGGCAGGATTGAGCTTCATCTTGTACTCTCTAAGGATGTTGAAAGTTTTCCTCAAGTTGCCGATGTGGTTTGACCGCTACTTGTCTTTCACCATGATGTTGTCGACGTAGACCTCCATGGTTACTTCAATCTGTCTCTTGAACATCATGTTTACCAGTCATTGGTAAGTAGCTCGCGTTCTTGAGGCCAAAAGGCATGATTTTATAGCAGTAAGTACCTCACTTGATCACAAACATGGTTTTCTCCTTGTTGGGCTTGTGCATGGCTATTTGGTTGTAGTCGGAGTATGCGTCCAAGAAAGTCAGTGGCTAGTTTCTGAAGTTGAATCAACCAATAAGTTCGTTTGAGGGATTGGATAAGGATCCTGAAGTGTGCTATATAGTTGGGTCGCAACAAGCCTCAGGCAGACCAAGATGGATGCGTGCAATATTGCATGGTCCCAAGCAGTGATTAGGAGCTTGACACGCATGAACAATGATCGAGCAATCATTTGTAAGCACTTAATGAATGCTTCTGCTAGGCCGTTCTGGGTGTGAACATAAGGTACATGATGTTCAACTTCAACCCCAACCGACATATAATAGTCATCAAAAGTTTTAGATGTAAATTCTCCAGCATTATCCAATTGAATAGATTTGAATGGATAATCAGGGTGGTGAGCCCTGAGCTTGATAACTTGAGCCAACAGTTTGTAGAAGGCAGCGTTCCTTATGGACAAGAAGCACACGTGTGACCAACGTGTGGAAGCGTCAACATCTAAATGGTCTGCAAAGTGAATCAGTCCACAAATGTCCCCTTGAATCCTTTATAGAAAAATAGGAGATTCGAATGAATCTTGTCATAAGAAGGCTTAATAATAAGCTTTCCCATGGAGCAGGTTTGACATGTGATTCCTTGAATCGAACCTAAACTTCGAGTTAGTGGATGCCCATGTGAAGATTTGAGGATACTGCCATTGCTGTTCATCTAAGGTGTTCCAAACGATCATGCTAAAGTGTAATTTCGTGTGCGGTCCCTTAGGTAGGGCCGGCCACATAGTGGCTCTCTATAGGGCATATGATTGTAGTATACAGACCACTAGGGATACGCTCCATCTTCTCTAAAATAAGCTTCTAACCATATCTGTAGGAAGTGATACACAGAAATTGAGCTCCATTTTCTACATAGGTTTCAGTGTGGTAATTATTGTCTCGAATGTCTTTGAAACTCAACAACATTCTTCCGGAACGTGGAGAATAAAGTGCCTCATCAATGGTCAAGATTGTACCATTTGACAACATTATATGTGTTTTACCGTATCCTTCAATCAAGTTGGATAGGCCTGAGAAGGTTGTCAGAGATGCAGTCTTAGGTACAAAGTTAGTGATATAGATGCGTTCATGTAAAATGGTATGCGTGGTTGCATTATCTGCCAAACAACTAACTTTCTCACTAGTCATACCTAGAAATAAAAATTAATTTGAATCGGTCACATGCATAAAAATTCTAGAAATAAATATCCATTCAAAATAATTTAAGTATTCAATGATGGTAATTAAAAACAACTTAATATCCAAAAACAAATCACCAACAAATAATCCAAACATAAGGGAAAATTGTTCAAACTTAAAACAAAAAAAAAGGGGGGTTCGGCCACCTAGTGAAATTCGGCCCCAGGGGTCTAAAATTCAACTAAAATGTCTAAGATTCTAATCTTGGTACTCTCTAGTTCATCCACTTGCGCAAAGTTTGATTCAAACATCATACGACGAGAATGATATTCAGCTACAACCTTCGAGGGAGCATAGCAAACACGGGATCAATGGTCCTTTGAACCACAGCGTTAGCACATATCCTAATCCATGGTGTCAAGTGCTTTGCCCTTATTCTTAAAGTTCGGGGCCTTGGGAGTGAGGTTAGAATGCTTCTAGGCTCTGTTTCCTCCCTTAGATGGGCTTTGGCTCTGTTGACCTTGATGGGGTGGCTTCTGGCAGCCCCTACCGAGTTTATGTTGGCGTTTTGGGCGTTGGTTTGTGCTATAGTGTGCTTCAGGCACAATAGTCATCCCAGTAGGTCGCTTGATGATTTTTCATCAACAGCTGATTCTGCTTTTCAGCAAAAAGTAAAACAAAAATCAAATTCGATAACTTAGTGAACTTCTGAGCCCTATATTGTTGCTGCAGGACAATATTGCTAGTAGAGAAGGTCGAATAGGTCTTCTCCAAAATATCCTCTTCAGTTGAGTTTTCATTACAGAACTTGAGAAGTGATCGAATTCTACAAACTTCATAATTATATGCATTCACAGACTTGAAATCTTGGAAGTGCAGACATTGCCAGTCGTGTCTTGCTTCAGGTAAGAAGATGTCATTTTGGTGATCGAAGTGATTAGCCAAAGCGACCTAAAGTGCTCGTGGATCTTCCTCAGCAAGGTATTCGGTTTGCAGTGCATCATGAATGTGTCTTTGAATGAAGATCATAGCAGTAGCTTTCTCAGTTTCGCCAACTGGGTTATCCGTCTCATCCTTAATAGTGGGATGCAAATTCTTTGCAGTGAGGTAGAGCTTCACATCTTGGACCCACTTAAGGTAGATTCTTCTAGAGACCTCTAAAGTGGTGAAGTCGAGTTCTCCATAAGTTTACTGGTAGTAAGGTATGACCCTAAATTTTTCTCCTATTTGACTTCGTATCTTTTTAGCAAACAAAGGAGATAATCCAAAAAGAAACTTTTCTTTCCAGAAATTAGCGTTACAATCAAATCTAATGAAAACCTTAGCTTAAAAAACATCTCTATACCACCTAAAATGAGACAAAGTTGGACATTTTAGGTTTATTAAGAGTTCTCTAGACAGATCAAGTTGGAGCTAAGAGGATCCAACAAAATGAAGGGTAATCGTATAAATTAAGGTATTCATCGGGTCCTCATGAACTACTTGTTGCTCATTAGTTTCAACTATCTTGGTAGTAGCAAGGATTTGTCCTTTTGCTTCTTCGCCTAGATGAAAATCCCACCATCCGCGAAGTTATCCTATAAACCCTGCTACGATTGCATGTGCAATGACTGTATTAGAATTTCATTGTAATTTGTTGGCTGATGAGAACATCATCATGTGTCTTATGGTATTAACTATTTGGTATTTTGTTTGTCAATCAATGTTCCATTCAACATTTGATCTTCAATCATACTACACCTTTTCACCATATCATTATCTTCAAATTGAAGATCTACATGTGACGACTAGTCCCGAATTAATATATATTTTATCCTCGAATGCATGGAAATGATTATTTTGCCCTTGTGGGCCTAGTGACATGGTGGTACATAGAAAATGTTAAATTTATTTTTCCCGTTGATATAATTAAATTATTCTTAACGTCAAGAGAATGTCGACACAATTCAGGGCTGAGTTGGGTTTGCAGTGGAAGAATTATGAAGGAAGAGAGGAAATTGGGTTGAACCCAAAGTGCATGAGTTTAGTCATGTAGCCCAATTAGGATTTAGGACAATTTAAAATGCCCAATCCCGTAGGACACACACACTTACACACACATGCAACCTTCTTTCCATTTCTCTCTTCCTTTCTCGAATCCCCTTTGAGTCTGTACAACCAAACCCCTAACCTTTGAATCTTGTCACACACTCACAGATCGAGTGCAAGGTTAGTATTATCGTGTTTCCCTCGACCTCACGAGTCGAGCCATACCCTTGGTTTGAGGAAAGGACCACAGAAACTTGAGATACCCGAGCTCCGGCAAGGAGTGTAATTTCTCTGACATGATCACGAAGGTCTTAGCTAGTTTTGAGACTTAGAAAGGTATTATTACAACTCTAGTGTTTTAGACTACTTTTGGTTAAGTTTAGATGTTGGAATAAGCTCGGTAGTGGGTGTGCAGGACTAGCCGGTTTTTTCAAGGATTTTTCCGATCATTTTTCATTGAGTTTAGGGCCTCAAACAGGCATGGATGTGTTCTCCTAGTTCAGAGCTTCATTTTGGTACAAATTTCATGAAATTTGGGGTTGAAACGACAAAGATATTAAGGTTTAAAGTTTTTCCAGAAATCGATGATTGCAGCTGCGGCCGCCGCCGGAATCCGGCGAACCACCGAAGAAGAAAGGGGAATATTCTGTCAAAGTTGACGGAATATACTAACGGCGTTAGGTAAAGTTAACGGTATATGTTGTTACTTAACAGAATATTCCCTAACACCGTTAGGGAATCTGTTAGTGTGCCAGACATGTGCCTTGGTCGGGGCATGGGATGTTGAAATTTTTTTCTAAAAATATGGGGATGCTTGTGGTGTTGAGTAGGCCACGATGGTATATTTAAACACCCTAATTGAGCAACGTATGAGAAGTTATTACAAAGTGTTGGTTATGTGCTTAAAAGTAACGTTACAATAGTTGTTTCACATATAGGTGAAACGTTTCCACAGGTCGAGCGCAGCCAGGTGAAACGTGGGGGTTATGACCTGGCTACATATCAGTGAGTGGGCTTCTGGTTATATATATATATACACATATATATGTGCACCTTATGTTTCCCATAAATTGTTTAAATGGTTTTTACGTTTTAAATGCCATGTCATATGCATTACATACTAGAATATGCATTTGTATAGTTGTGTATATTACTGCTTGACGCTGCGGACGCTCAGGTAAGCCTCTGGTGAGTATATTTTAATGGTAGTGATGATGTTGTGGATGATTATGTTGGATTGCATTTAGTGATTTATATCCTACACCCTGGTGTTAATGCTCTGCCCGAGGTCAGGGCCTAGCCTTCACGTGATCGTTTACCTCCCGCACCATATGCTCACCTTAGATCCAAGGCAGGTGCCAGCTTGTCGTACAGACCACAATAGATGGTTCCAACTCATAGGTGACTTGTGATACTTTGTATAGCCTTCACGTAATCGTAGCACTTGAGCGTATTTATTTACACCTAGCTTGTCATACAGACCATATTGGTGGTTCTGACTCATGTGCACCAAGTCTAAGGCAGAACACCTAGCTTGAGAGTATTTATTTACACTTAGCTTAACAGGTTTGTCATTGTTTTTATTAATGACATTTTGGTGTATTCCAAGTCTAAGGTAGAACACATTCGACATCTCACTTTGGTTTTGAACAAATTGAGAGAACACCAATTGTATGCTAAATTTAGAAAATGCCAATTTTGGTTAGATCAAGTGGCATTTTTGGTGCATGTAATATCGGCCCAAGGTATTTAAATGGACCCTCAGAAAGTAGTTTTTTTTGAAAATTGGGAGCAACCACGAACAGTCACTGAGGTACGGAGTTTTCTGGGCTTGGCGGGTTATTATAGACGGTTCGTTAAAGATTTCTCAATTATAGCATTACCACTGACAAGGTTGACGAGGAAAGATGTTAAATTTGAGTGGGACGATAATTGTGAATGGAGTTTCCAGCAACTAAAGTATTGTCTCACTCACGCACCTGTTTTGGCACTTCCAGATGATGGTGGTAATTTTGAGATTTACAGTGACGCTTCCTTGAATGGTTAGGCTGTGTGCTGATGCAGCATGAAAGGGTGATTGCTTATGCTTCACGATAGTTGAAGCCTTATGAGATGAATTATCTGACGCACGATCTTGAGTTAGCAGCCACTATCTTTGCCTTGAAGATTTGGAGGCATCACCCAAAGAGATCTTAACCTCCAACAACGGAAGTGGATAGAGTTACTTAACGAATATGATTGTACGATTGAGTATCACCCTGGTCGTGCAAATGTAGTGGCGGACGCATTTAGTAGAAAAACTCGAGGTTGAGTTAATGCTTTATATGCTTATCGTGTTCCTTTCCTCGCATAATTGAGATCCATTGGAGTGAAGTTAGGGGTGGAAAATCGGGAGAAAGCTTTACTTGCTAACTTTTAGGTTAGGCCGATTTTGATTGATCGTGTACTTGAGGCTTAGGTGAATGATGAAGAAATTCAGGAATTAATTCAGGTAGTGTCACAGGGGAAAAAGAAAGATCTCAAAGTGCGGGAATCTAATGGCATGCTTATGCAAGAGAAACGGATGTACGTACCAAATATTGCTGAGCTAAAGAAAGATATTCTTGATAAGGCACATGTTTCAGCTTATGCAATGCATCTTGGAAGTACTAAAATGTGTTATACCATTCAGTCTTTCAACTAATGGTCGGGCATGAAAAGGGAGATTGCCTAGTATGTGAGTAGATGTGCAATTTGCCAACAGGTTAAAGCTGAAAGGAAGAGACCTTTTGGGTTGATGCAACCATTTCCCATTCCCTAGTGGAAACGGGAAAATATTACTATGGATTTCATGTACAAGCTTCCTCGTACAAGGAATGCTTATGACGGCATTTGGGTGATAGTAGATCAGCTTACTAAATCAGCACACTTCATACTAGTTCGAGAGAACTATTCCCTAAGTCGATTAGCCGAGTTATTTATACCAGAAGTTGTTAAATACCATGGGGCACCGGTTAGTATTATATCTAATTGAGATCCTAGGTTTACTTCTAAGTTCTGGGTGGCATTTCAGGAAGCTCTTGGTTCGAGATTGCTTTATAGTACTGCTTATCATCCCTAGCTGGACAGGCAATCCGAGAGGACTATCCAAACATTAGAAGATATGTTGAGATCTTCGATATTGCAATTTGGTGATGCTTGGCATAAGCGTTTGGATTTGATGAAGTTTACTTATAATAATAGTTACCATTCTAGCATTAAGATGTCACCTTTCAAGGCGTTATATGGTAAATCTTGTCGTACGCTTCTTTGTTGGTCAGAAGTTGGTGAGAGGGTATCAGTGGGCCTAGAGATTGTGAACGAGACTACTCAGAATATTCAGGTAATTAAATCTAACCTGAAAGCGGCCCCAGGATCAACAAAAGAACCTTGCTGACAGACACGGCACAGATAGAGTGTATAATGTGGGAGATTGGGTATTTTTGAAGTTATCCCCGTGGAAAGGTGTTGTACAGTTTGGTAAGAAAGGTAAGTTAAGTCCTCGATATATCGGACTGTACCGGATCACCGAGCAGGTCGATGAAGTTGTTTACAGACTTGAGTTGCCTCCAGAGTTGTCAAAGGCGCACGATGTTTTTCATGTCTCTATGTTTCACCATTATGTTTCTGATCCGTCACACATGATATCTCCTCAACCACTAGAAATTAATCCAGATTTAACTTATGAGGAGGAGCTAGTGACAATTTTGGATTGTAAGGATAAGGTTCTGAGGAACAAAACTGTGCGTCTGGTGAATGTTTTGTGGAGGAATCACTTAATGGAGGAAGCCACATGGGAAACGGAGGATCGTATGCGAGATATGTATCCACGCTTGTTTTATGGATATTAGTGTATGAAATTTCGGGGATGAAATTTTCTTAAGGGGGGTAGGTTATGACGACCCATCCCGAATTAATATATATTTTATCCTCGAATGCGTGGAAATGACTATTTTGCCCTCATGTGCCTTGTGACGTGATGGTACATAGAAAATTTTAAATTTATTTTTATCGTTGATATAATTAAATTATTCTCAACGTCACGAGAATGTCGACACAATTCAGGGCTGAGTCTAGTTTGCAGTGGAAAAATTACGAAGGAAGAGAGGAAAGGACCACGGAAACTCGAGATACCCGAGCTCCGGCAAGGAGTGTAATTTCTCCGACGTGATCGCGAAGGTTTTAGCTAGTTTTGAGACGTAGAAAGGTAGTATTACAACTCCTCTAGTGTTTTAGACTACTTTTGGTTAAGTTTGGACGTAGGAATAAGCTCGGTAGTGGGTGTGCTGGAGTAGCCAGTTTTTTCAAGGATTTTTCTGGTCATTTTCCGTTGAATTTAGGGCCTCAAACAGGTATGGATGTGTTCTCCTAGTTGAGAGCTTCATTTTGGTACAAATTTCATAAAATTTGGTGTTGAAACGACAAAGATATTAAGGTTTAAAGTTTTTCCAAAAACCGGCGAGTGCAGCGGCGACCGACACCGGAATCCAGCAAACCATTGGAGAAGAAAGGGGAATATTCTGTCAAAGTTGATGGAATATACTAACAGCGTCAGGTAAAGTTAATGGTATATGCTGTTACTTAACGGAATATACGCTAACGTCGTTAGGGAATTCGTCAGTGTGCCAAGCACGTGCCTGCGCGTGGCTGGCGCGTGTGGCCATGCCTTGGTCAACGCGTGAAAACGCATGGGATGTTGAAATTTTTTTCTAAAAATATGGGGATGCTCGTGGTGTTGAGTAGGCCACGATGGTATATTCAAACATCCTAATTGAGCAACGTATGAGAAGTTATTACAAAGTGTTGGTTATGTGCTTAAAAGTAACGTTAAAATAGTTGTTTCACATATAGGTGAAACGTTTCCAAAGGACGAGCGCAACCAAGCGAGACTTGGAGGTTACGACCCTGCTACATATCAGTGAGTAGGCTTTTGGTTTTATATATATGTGTGTGTGTGTGTGCGCGCGCGCACGTGTGCCTTACGTTTCCCAGAAATTGTTTCAATGGTTTTTACGTTTTAAATGCCATGTCATATGCATTACATACTAGAATATGCATTCGTATAGTTGTGTATATTATTGCTTGACGCTGCGGACGCTCAGGTAAGCCTCTGGTGAGTATATTTTAATGGTAGTGATGATGTTGTGTATGATTATGTTGGATTGCATTTAGTGATTTATATCCTGCACCCCGGTTTTAGTGCTCCACCTGAGGTCAAGGCCTAGCCTTCACATGATCGTTCACCTCCTGCACCACATGCTCACCTTAGATCCAAGGCAGGTGCCAGCCTGTCATATAGACCACATTAGGTGGTTCCGACTCGTAGGTGACTTGCGATACTTCACATAGCCTTCACATGATTGTAGCACTTGAGCATATTTATTTACACGTAGCCTGTCGTACAGACCATATTGGTGGTTCCGACTCGTGTATAGGATTTGATTTAACTGTTGAGTTATAGATTCAACCGTACACGTGACATTAGGTGACTCCGGCTGATATGTCACTTTATATTAGTACAATTCACCTGGCTCACTTATTCATGGTTGAGATGATTGATATGGCATACATATGGTTTGTCATTCTCGAGCGTAGTTTTGCACCCCTCCAGTATCTAGGTAAACTTCAGTGTTGGTGGCTTACGAGGAATCTTCGGCGATTCTAACAGACATCCATCAATGCAGGGTTTCTTTATGTTCTGTATAATTATTACTTAGTCTTCTGGACTGCACTTCGATACCTCTGCTCTAGTTGTGTGTATCTTTACTCTAATCACTTTCACTCATACTTATAGGCCAGTCTAATGTAAGATAACTAGTGGTTTTATTTATTCGCATTTTCATATCATTACCACTTCCGCACAACTCACATGGTTACATCATCCTCACGTGACGGCCAGCATGCCTCGATTGAGGTCGGGGTGTGTCACTACAGGAGTTGGCGTAGGATAGTAATTTTTCAGGATAGGTGTTCTTGTGACCTTGTGTCCTTATCTTATCTTATCTTATTCACTTGTGGATCAAAGGTTGACTCAGCAAATTGCTGTTTCAAATCAACAATTTGGGTTTCAGTAATAACTGAAACATTTGGCTTCGACAATTTTATTGAGCTTAATCTTTTTGCCAAAGCATCAATAAAATTATCATTGTTTCCTAACTTATAGTCCTTAAGCTTAGGAGTTGGTTTAAACATTGGTTAGTTGACCTTGTCCTTTTTATTCTTCTTTTCTTCAGAAGAACTGAAAGATGTTCTTGGTTCTCTAGGGTTCCAAATTCTAGACTTGAGAGAATCATTTGTTTTTAATAAATTCTCAATCTAGAAGCTTGTTGGCCTAAAGATTGGAGAAACATATTTGTATTATTATTTTGTTGTATTACAACAACAACTCTGGTTTTTAAAGAAGCTTCTTGTCCTGCTTTGTTCCTTTCGAATTGTTTTGGATAACCTTTTCTGGTGGATGTATTGCCTTTTCTTCTTTTCCTTCCTTCGTTGTATAAGTCTTAAATGGGTTATCTAAGGTGCTTATACATTGAGTGTATTCAAGGAAATTTGTACTTCTTTGCACACCATTCATACCAAGGGATAAATATTTTGTTAATCCCTTTTTCTTTCATGAATGTGCAGTGAAGCTTCTTCAAGAAAGCTCTTCTTTTTGGGCTGTAGGCTTTTTCTAGCCATTCTCTTTTCAAATCATTTTCTTCACTGAGATAATCTTTCTCAATAAATTTCTTATCTGGTTCAAATTGTGTTATAACATAGACGTTAGATTCAACATCGTCCATGTAAACTCAAGTTGCAAAGGTAGATTCCTAGAGTTCCTCGAGGGAGATGTGTCTCCAGTGTTTTCAACCTTATAGAAAGGGTAATGCACTTGTTCATGGATCTTTCTCTAGGATAGTCCTTTCATGGTCTTGCTCATACAAGCTTGACTCAGGTGTTGTTTTTCTGAAAGGATTTGTCTTGAAAGGGTTTGGCCTTAGGGAATCGACACTTCTTTGAGGTCCTAAACTTAGTCTGGTTAACCTATCATTGTTGAACTGCTACAATCTTCATAGTGGTTAATCTGACTAGGTTCTTAGTTTTGGATTGGTTGGGGAGGAATTGCTTCTTGCAATCTCCATCTATCAGGTAGAGTAACTTCATTCCACCTAATCATTTTGGGTACCACCGTATGTGCCTTTTCCAAAATTAGCTTGGAACAAAATGGTTTGTCCCTGCTATCCATGACTTTGGCTCTAGGTACAATGGTATTCATAACCTTATATGAAATTCCGTAAATTACAGTGAGATTCTGTGATCCAGGGTTTATACCATACCCTTGGCTATCCACACTTAAGGTAAGGGTTTTCAGAATTTCAGGGTTGAATAATGACATTGAAAAGTTCTGGTAAGAATTAAAATAAATTGACCCCTCACTTAAGGAAGACTCTACTAATCCCAACATGGAATTAACAAAGTTCCTATGACGTTGTAGACATGTAAATTTCGTTGCATGCGAATGATGCATCACAAAGCTCCACGTGGCATATGACTCATCACAAATGGACAAGTCATCAATGACATGTGGAATAAATTGATGTGATAAATAATAGCACTCAAATTAAACCCTCTTTTTGACAATTGTAGTAAAGATATAAGTAGGGATCATTCTACGCCGGGGATTAGGAGGGATTGCTAATCTAATGAAAACTGACTCAAAGATACAAAATTATGCTTAAACACACTTAAACAAACTCAAAGACTCTTAACTAAACTTATATGACTCAAAACAAACTTAAAAGACTCAAAACAACACAAAACAATCAAATAGACTCAAACTAGACTCTAAGACTCAATTTGGACGAAAATAGAATTGGTTTTGACTCAAAATACTTAAAAACACACAATAGGACAAATTTGACTCAACAAAGTAAAGAGGATTGGGTTTTTGATGAATTTAAGATAAAAACAAGTAACTAAAAGATTTAAACAAGATTTGGACGAATTTGAGAAAAACTATGGATGATTAGATAGCTAGAGGATTGTTTTCCACACATGATACATTCAAACACAAATTGATTTCCAGTTGCTTTTTCGATAAACCATGAACCTCAACACCCCAGATTAACCGTGACATCACTAATTAACCCTCAGATTTTCCTTTAACTATTGGATTGGATGACATCATATGACAACCCAAAGCATTCTTCAAAAGTTCCCTACATGACATTATAATAAAGATACAATCAAAGATCATTACGATCTATGAAAATCATAAGTATTGACATAGCACTTGCAACTATGACATCATGATACTCATGCTAGGAATTTACTTAACCTGATTGTGAAAAAAAACCTTAACTACTTGTGAATATAAGTTTGTGACGATTATGTGAAACTCCCTTATATTCTAGCACCAAATTCAAGCAAGCAAATTAAGTAGGCCTCCCTAATCAACATACAAGAATAAGTTATCCATCAAACGGTTAAGTAAATTGCATTCACAATTTATGAAATCACAACTAGAATTAATCAATTCATATCATAAACATAATCATGGTTTCAAAGTCTCCCCTAGCTAAAACGAGTTTAGCCTCTCATGTTCACAACAAAACAAAGAAGACTTGAATTAAACATTGAAAACAAAAGATAGATTACACCTAAAAACGTTCCAACACTTCAACTTGAATGCAAAAAGGTCCAAGGCTTCCTCTTCTCCTCTTCTTCCTTGCTATGCTGCGACACAAGAGTCTAGGGGTGATTTTAGATGTATTTCTGGGTTAGGAAGGGATTTTGGTTAGTAGGGGGTGCGGCAAAGGTTTAGGAATGGTGTATAAGCGTTTGGGTGAAGGTATCGAAGTATGGGAATGGT